CCTAGGAGAACTCGTATAAACGAGAAAACCCAATAAAAAGAAGTAACTGTTATTAAGAATTCCTGAAGTAAGCTTAATAAGATGTAAGAACACCCATAAGTGCTATTTGAAACTTTGATCAAAGTAGCATGACTGTATGACCTAATTAAAACCAAAAAAATTGGTCGAATGATAATATAAAATATATTTCAAGCAGATAACCAACTGGAAAAATGCGAAACGTGGAGAAATTGAAACACTGGAAATCCAAAAATTGAGTAATAGAGAAATTGAGAAATCGAAAAATCTGAAATATAGAAAATCTAAAAATTGGTGAATCGAAAAAGTGAAATATCGAAAAACTGAAACAAAAAGTCGTGAAGTCAAAAATCAAAAAAGAGAGAAATCGAAAAAGCCCAAAATCGAAGAACTAAAAATTGAAATTTTTAAAATTAAAAAAGAAAGGGAAATCTGAAAAATTCAAAGAAATCCAATAATCTACAAAATCGAAAATATCTAAATAGTTCAAAGCAAAACCAAAACAAGGGAGAAAATACAAAAAAAATCCAAAACAATCCAAAAAACTCAAAAAAAATCCAAAAATAAAAAGTACAAAAAACCGAAATCACGAAAAAATCTAAAGAATTCAAAAATCGAAAAACCGAAGTCCGGAAAACTTGAAAAATCCGAAAAATGTAAAAAAATTTAAAAAAGCCAAAAATGCAATAAATTCAAAAAATTCAAGAAATCCAATCTCTCTCTGTTGTTGGGTTTTCAACTTTTAGATTTCTCAATTTTTTCATTTCACTTTTGTGATTTTTCAATGTCTGGATTTTTCAAATTTTTGACTCTTCAATTTTTCGATTTTTCAAGTTTTTCAAATTTTAGGTTTTTCGATTTCTCGAGGTCTCGGTTTGTTTTTGGTTTTTAGATTTTCAAGTTTCCATTTTTTCGATTTTTCAATTTTTCTAGTTTCTAAATTTTCTATTTTCCGATTGCTCGATTTTTTGGCTTTTCTACTTTTCGGATTAAAATTTTTCGCTTTTTCAATTTTCCGATTTCTTAATTTTTTTATTTTTAGATTTGGTCCAGAAGTTAATCCCGAACTTAATCCCGAAATTAATTCGGAACTTAAACCCAAATTTAACTTACCACTCTCTCTCTCTCATTCTCCCATTTATCGTTCTCTCTCTCATTTTTCGAAAATATCCAAATAATTCAAAACAAATCCATAACAAGCGAGAAAATACAAAAAAAAATCGAAAACAATCCAAAAAAACTCAAAAAAAAGGTCCAAAAATAAAAAAATACAAAAAACTGAAATCACGAAAAAATCTAAAGAATTCAAAAATTCGAAAAACCGAAAATTCCGAAAAATCTGAAAAATCAGAAAAATGTGAAAAAAAACAAAAAAGCAATAAATTCAAAAAATTCAAAAAATCCAATCTTTCTCCGTTGTTGGCCTTTCAATTTATAGATTTTTCAATGTCTGGATTTTTCAAATTTTTGACTCTTCAATTCTTCGATTTTTCAAGTTTTTTAAATTTTAGGTTTTTCGATTTCTCGAGGTCTCGGTTTGTTTTTGGTTTTTAGTTTTTCGAGTTATCATTTTTTCGATTTTTCAATTTTTCTAGTTCCTAAATTTTCTATTTTCCGATTGCTCGATTTTTCGACTTTTCTACTTTTCGGATTAAAATTTTTCGCTTTTCCAATTTTTCGATTTCTTAATTTTTTTATTTTTCGATTTGGTCCAGAAGTTAATCCCGAAATTAATTCGGAACTTAAACCCAAATTTAACTTACCACTCTCTCTCTAATTCTCCCATTTATCGCTCTCTCTCTCTCATTCTTCGAAAATATCCAAATAATTCAAAGCAAATCCAAAATAAGCGAGAACATACAAAAAAAAATCGAAAACAATCCAAAAAACTCAAAAAAGGTCCAAAAATAAGAAATACAAAAAACTGAAATCACGAAAAATCTAAAGAATTCAAAAATTCGAAAAACCGAAAAGTCCGAAAAATCTGAAAAATCCGAACAATGTGAAAAAATAAAAAAAACCCAAAAATGCAATAAATTCAAGAAATTCAAGAAATCCAATCTCTCTCTGTTGTTAGATTTTCAATTTTTACATTTCTCAAGTTTTTTAAATTTTAGGTTTTTCGATTTCTCGAGGTCTCGGTTTGTTTTTGGTTTTAGTTTTTCAAGTTCTCATTTTTTCGATTTTTCAATTTTTCTAGTTCCTAAATTTTCTATTTTCCGACTGCTCGATTTTTCGACTTTCCTACTTTTCGGTTTAAATTTTTTCTCTTTTCCAATTTTTCGATTTCTTATTTTTTTTATTTTTCGATTAGGTCCAGAAGTTAATCCCGAACTTAAACCCAAATTTAACTTATCACTCTCTCTCTCTTTCATTCTCCCATTTATCGCTCTCTCTCTCATTCTTCGATTTATCACTCTCTATCTCATTCTCCCATTTATCAATCTCTCTCATTCTCCCATATATCACTCTTTCTCTCATTCTCCCTTTTATCAATCTCTCTCATTCTCTCATTTATCACTCTTTCTCTCAGTCTTGTTTTAGAAGGTACTAGCCCCACCTTCTCTTTTCTTAGAGGATGCCATTTGCCAAAATCAGTCTTAATTTAGCAGATACTAGCCCCGCCCACCCACCCTCTCTTTTCTTCGAGGCTATCTCATTTTGCCAAAATCAGTCTTATCTTAGTAAGTACTAGCCCCGCCCACCCACCCTGTCTTTTCTTAGATGATATGTCATTTGCCAAAATCGGTCTTATTTTAGCAACTACTAAGCCCGCCCACTCACCCTGTCTTTTCTTAGATGATATGTCATTTGCCAAAATCAGTTTTATCTTAGCAGGTACTAAGGAAAAGGTATTGGGGAAAAAATTAAAACAGTATAACAACATTTTTTATTTAACTTTGAAATTGTAAAACCGAACACTCAGAAAACTTCAAAGCTTTTTAAGGTTATCGTAAGCATGGAAAATCGTTAATCAAAATTTGTTCGTTTAAAGCCTTCCCGGAAAATTATGACGTCATCTTAGAATTTTACCGAACAAATATTCTTTCAATTTTATAAAATAAAATATTCCCGTTTGTGTGATTTATGAATCCGTGTTGAGTTTTTACCCTTGTTATCCAGATTTTTGGAAAAAAGCACATTGTCTAACAATATTTATCAATTTAACTTTGAAATTGCAAAAAACCGGATGTTGAATTTCTTCAAGTTTATGTTTCCTCTACGTTGAGGACACAAAATCAGTCAAATTTCATTTTCTTTTAACCGCTGATGCTTGTAATCTGAACGTGCTAATAGTCGAATTGGGTCGAAATATAAACATAAATCTTCCACAATTTTTACTAGCTTTGTTTTTCCTCCACATTTGCAGCTCCATTTGTTCGGTAAACGCAACATAGTTACGAGGTAATTCAGCACAATTGCGCCGCTTACCTCAAACTCGGAAAGCACGAGGGTTTCATGCTCCTGCATGTTCGACGACGCGCACGATTGCAAATTTCCTGCCGAATCGCATCACATTTAAAGCAGTAAATTGCTGCTACACCACTTTACCGGTCTTTGAGCATTAGTTGCTCCCGAACATTAACAACGTGACTTGCTCGTGCACCACATATGCAAAAGCATCTCGTATTTCCGCCGAGAACAGACGACGAAAAAGTGTGCCACCACCCGGAAACCCCGCTCTTTAATTAGGTCATTAATGAGATATATATCGCCGGAGTTTTCGAAAGCTCTCTCGATCCCTGCTTTCGCTAATTCAATCGCGGCAATATTCATCAGCACGTTTGATCGCCATAAAAACAAGATGAATTATTAAACTCGGCCAACTTTTTAGATTTAAAGTTTATCCAACTTCACTCGAACCAAGTTTTATTGCCGAAAGAACAACTCCGCCCGATAACATTTATTAAATCTCGTTTCACGGCTAAACTCATCACAAAAAACAATAATTTTAAATTTCTCAATTACGGTTTTAATGAAATCCGCTGCGCGTCAAAAATCGCTCGGAAAATTATGAATTTAGAGAAGTCGGTCCAAACAACTTATCTTGTGCAAAACGTTCGAATTACATTACCGAGTTTTTCCTCCTTCGAACACATGGTGTCCTTGTTAGGATGTGTCACAAATCTGTTCGCTGTAATTGACAGTAATGAAGCTCCCCTTATCGAGCTTAATCGCATTAAAAAGAGCAGGGGACTTAGCTTACGATTGTAGAAGTGATCAAAGTTTTGAAAGCTGCATTACCAGCCTGATTCTAATCAAATCTGGCGACGGGGAGAAAATTATGCCATTCAAAACGCTAAAACTGCACTTCCGATCTGACCTACTTGAGTCGAAACTAAATTAAACAATTAAGTAAATTTGGGGCTCCGGCAATCGGGATTATGTATGCGCCGTCTGGGACTGCTCCAATGATCCATCCCTTGCGGTCGGGCTGATAATATTGGGAATTATATGTGGGGGGTAATTCACCGATTGAGGGTTTTGTGTAACCTTGGAAAATTCGGGCGCCAGTTTTCGCCACGTACCGAATCCACCCGACTGCGCCATTTTCGCGTCGCGGCTGACTCAGGGCAAGATTTGATTCGTAAATAAACGTCTTCGGTGTCACCTCAGCGCCGATACAAGTAAATAAAGACTTCGGAAGCACGTGCAGATCAGATGGGAATTTATCCCGAATTTACGGCGACATTATCGACTGAAAACAGACAACAACTAAACGTCGCAAATTATCGTGGAAATGTACGTGTTTCCGGTGGAATCTCGCCAGACTTATCGACTCCTAATCCTCTCCGAAGGCCTCCGCAGGATTTTATTTGTTAATAAACGGCCAGCAGTAAAGTCCGATGAATAATTTATGGCGAACGCATTGTCCATAACTGAAAATAAAAGCGGCGGCCTCGTAAACACGCCGTAAAGAACCGTTCTTAATGGAGATATCGGTGCGTGCATGCGTTTTTCATGAAAGATTCATTTTTCAGGTCGAGCCACGGTCACCCGAAGCGGCGGCCGGCCGGCGACGGCATGGACGCCGAGATGGACGACCCGGAGCTGATGTTCGAGATGGCGGAGCACCTGGGGGACTGCCAGTGCGCCTGCGACCACGTGGTCTACAGCCCCAGCTACAGCACTTGCCTGCAGGTCTGAATCTAAAAATCTCAGAAATCTGGACTGTTGTCTTTAACGCACGATTAGCTCGCACTCAATCAGATGGGACAAAGGGCGCAGAGTGGCGTGACGGAAGCTGTAGAGATTTCACGCTTGCTTGCCGGGGGAATAGTAAGAGCACATCGACACATGCAGGCGGAGCTCGCTGCGCTCGCTCGCCAATTATGCCCAAAGCTCATCAGTAGAGAGCGGATTTATAAGCACAAAAAAATTAAGAATAAGCGCTTAAAATAAAAAAGTTTTATTTTAAGCAAAAAAACATTAAAAGCAATCATATTACAAATCAAAGTACACTTCTTAGAACTTTGGATAAAATATTATTACAATAATCCTAGACTTTATATTTTACACACGTATTTCAGTTTTCTTTAAAACAATTTATGATTGTAATATGTTCCAAGTTGTCCACTGTAAAATTTTTTCGCCGATCATTTAAAATGTGTTTAATATCTTGACTTTTAGTTAGTCTTGAATAACTAACGTCGAACAATATGTATGTGATTGATCGTGCTCTACATTATTGTTAAACTTGGTGGGTTAAATTAGCCGTCTGTTTATGCAAATTGGCATGTGTTTGAAATATTGAACGCCCTTCGTATTTGGTGTGTTACTGAACAGTTCTTTGGATTATTACCAGTAGTAAGAATAAATATGCTTTAATATTATCAGAAAAACTTGGTGCCAATATTGATAGTGTTATCGGGAATACGCGTGTTCCATTAAATTGGTCTATTTGTTTCCTTTGTGTCTCTTGATAACCTCACCGTGGTCCAGTCCTTTTGCTTGTATATCAAATTGTTAGTCACCTCGAAGGACCCCTTGGTGTGAATAATTATTTGTGTCCCTGTTCATTATAAAAGTAACATTATGACCAATTTTTACTTCCCGAGCGTAAGCAAAGGAAGTATTGTAATCGAGTCCGTCGGCCGACTCTCTACTTTTACGTTTTCTCGATCTTTCATGACCCCTAGAAGACGAAGAAATAGGTCTCCCATTTCCGTCTGTCTGTCCGTCTGTCCGTCTGTCCGTCCGTCTGTCCGTCTGCCGTCCCGGATTTTTATTAGACAGATAATCTCCGAAAGTACTGGACCGATTGTTGTGAAATTTTGTACTTATATTAAGAATATCATGTAGATGGTAAAACGCTAACCAAAATTTGTCTAATCATCCCCACCACTAATGCGATGACGTCACTTCAAAATTGTACATAGTAAATGGGTTTTCAATTGTATAAAATAACATAGTCCTACACATGTAGTTTACAACTCTGAATCGACTTTACACCCGAAACGTCCAGATTTTTGGAAAAAAAAATCAAAATTATAAAACAGCATTTTGAAATTTAATTTTTAATCTGCTAACCAGAATGCTTTGAAATGTTGCAGATGTTTTAAGGCTATAAAGAGCATCATAAATCTTTAGTCAAAAAATATTTGCTTATCCCCTCCAAAAACTTGATGACGTCAGCTCAAAAGTTTGTGGAATAAATCATATCTAAAATGTACAAAATATGATGAGTCTGTACTTGTGATCTATCACTCCATTCATATTTTTTGGATTTGCATATACATAGTGACTCAAGAAAATAAATGAAAGCGTAAATTTATTTTACTGATTTACTCAGGAACTACAAAACCGAATGCTTCGAAATCTTGAAGATATTTTAAAATTATCATAAGCATGGTAAATTTTTGATCAAAACGTATTTGGTCGTCCCCCCTAAAAAAATTATGACGTCACCACAAAATTTTGCTGAATAAATCCTATCTAAAATGTACAAAATATGGTGAGTCTCTTCTTGTGATTTATCATTCCATTCAAGTTTTTTCGATTTGCATATACAGGGTGACTCAAAAAAATTAATGAATGCGTAAATTTATTTTATTGATTTAATCAGGAACTACAAAACCGAGTGCTTTGAAATCTTGCAGATGTTTTAAGGTTATAAAGAGCATAATAAATTTTTAGTCAAAATATATTTGGTTATCTTCTACAAAAAACTGATGACGTCAGCTCAAAAGTTTGCCGAATAAATCGTATCTAAAATGTACAAAATATGATGAGTCTGTACTTGTGATTTATCATTCCATTCATATTTTTGGATTTGCATATGCAGGGTGACTCGAAAAAATTAATGAAGGCGTGAATTTATTTTATAGATTTAATCAGGAATTACAAAACCGAATGCTTTGAAATCTTGGGAATATTTCAAAGTTATTATAAGCATGGTAAACTTTCGTTCAAAATGTATTTGTTCATCCCTCCTAAAAAAATTGATGACGTCACCCTTAAATTTTGCTGAATAAATCCTATCTAAAATGCAAAAAATATGATGAGTTTGTACTTGTGATTTATCATTCCATTCATATTTTTTAGATTTTCTTAAGAGGTGGTTCAAAAAAATTAATGAAGTCAATTTATTTTATTGATTAAATTAAAGGCAACACTTATTATTAGTATTACACCCTAACCAACCCAATTTGGTAGACACAAAATTTGTTAAAGGAAAAACTCGGTTGAAACATAAGGGTAGCACGCTTATTTACATCGACTTTAACATTACAGACCTGCATTTGTTTTATGCGCTCACTTGGTTCTGCGAATGTGAAATAGACATGTTTATAATCAACCAATTGTGAATTTCACCGTCAAGAATTAAAATAAAACCCAATGTTTTATATAATAAGCGGAAGTCGAAGCAATAAAACCGATGGTCGTTTTGTTTACAGTTTCTCTGTTTGACTCTCACGTATGCTGTTACGCTTGTCATCTTAAATTAAGAATGTTTATACATAAACGATTTTCAGTTGCCTTTCATATTACTAGACAGCGGATTTTTGTCGGGCTACGTCACGATTATAGGTGGGGACGCGCTGGATCGCCGGGACTCAGTAGCGGGTGATAGATAATCACTGAATTTAATCAGTACTAATTCCATAAATATAATTAACAATTTATTAATCAAACGGCTAAGTAAATGAGAACGGGAATTAACAGCAGAGTGCAACGAAACAACGTACCGAGTTTGGCCTTGCCTAGCCCGACAGAAATCCGCTCTCTAGATATTACACACCGGCGCTGTATACGTGAGTAAATTGTTTCGTTATTTTATTGATTATAACAAATCAATATTCAAAACGACCCGATTCATTTTCCCGAAAATTTGGGAATACAATAATTTTATTCTTAGTATTACACTACATCTATCCCAACTGATATACGTGTCCTTCCAAAAATGTTGATGACGTCATCACAATTTTTTTTTTAAATTCCCACTACAAAAATGTAATGAGAAAAAAAAACACAATAGGCATGCAGTCGTCAAGTTTCCGACAGCGAGGGAAGTACTGTCTAAACTCTTTAGACCAATTTTTGTATAAACTGCGATGGTGCTATTACTCCGACGACACCGTCTGCGAAGTGTGGGTCATGTAAAAAATATTCGCATTTAAAATATTTAAAATTAAGCGATGCCGAAATTGCTAATATCATAAGCGAAAAATCTTCATGGGTGTGCCTTACTATCGCAAAAATTGAGGCAATTATCAAATCGCAACTATCTATTGTTCGGAATGAAATCAAGGAATCCATTGACTTTTATTTTAAGAGTATTAATGAGAGACTATCTGCAGTTGAAAATACTGTACGCACAATTCAGGAGGAATGGGTGGAATTTAAAAAATCTAATGCTACTTGGGATGATGCGACAGCTGATTTGAACAATGTAATATCTGAAATTGAAGAACGTAGGTTACGTAGTAATAATGTGTTGTTATTTAATATTCCCGAATCTTCTGCGTCGGAGATTGCGCAAAAGATTGATGACGATTTGCAACATGTCACATCGATTCTATCTCCCTTAGGTTCGTTTCCTATACCGAAAAAAATTACACGTATTGGACAACATAAACCAAATGCTGTGCGCCCTTTAAGAATTACCTTACATACGATTCTGAAGCTACCGTTAAAGATGTTCTACGTTCGAATAGAAATAATTCTAATCGTAAACAACATTTTCGTCCAGATTTAACCAAATTACAGCGAGATTTTAATAATAATATGAGACAGGAATACAACGACAGGGTTTCTAAGGGTGAAAAGAATATAACTTTAAGGTACAAGAATAACATCCTTTATATCACTAAAAAGTTTAATTCGCAAAATAATTCCTCAAAAAAGTATTAAACTTTTTTTATCAGAATGCAGGCGGTATTAGGACGAAGTTAAATATTTTTTCGTTAAGTGTTAATTCCGGTGTATATAATGTTTTCCGTGCTGATCGAGATGTTAATACTAGCAACAAAGTTAGGGGTGGCGGTGTGCTAATCGCTGTGAAAAGTTATATTCATTCGTCTCTTATTTTAACTGGTAATTCGGTTGAAAGTATTTATGTCCACATATACCATAACGAATTAAACCCGATTGTTTGTGGTGTATATATACTTCCGGCTTCTCCATTAAATGTGTTTGAGGATTATTGTTGTGATTTGGAATCTATTTTCGAAAAATTTACGGAGTCTTCTTATATTATTCTGGGTGATTTTAATTTACCCCAACTTAGGTGGGATTTAGGCAACATTCAAAACAATGCACTTTCTGGTTCTCGTGATTATTATAATGTAATTTCTTACACTACTGCTTTTATGAACTTAGAACAACTAAACAAGATCCCTAATAGTAGAAATGTCTTTCTAGATCTGGTTTTTTCCAATATTGTTAGTTTGGATATTAGTATTGCCATTGATCCTATATTTCCCGCGTCAGTTCATCATTTTCCATATGAATGGTGCGTGCCATCTACTTCTCTTTTTCCAGTGTATTCTGAGACTCGATGTTTTGACTTTGCTAAAGGTAATTACAATCTTTTAAATAATTTTTTTGCTTCTGTACGTTGGGATTCTATATGGTCTGGTCTTACGATAGACGAAATGGTATCTGTATTTTATGACAGTATATTTGCTGGTTTCAAATTG